AAACATAGGTTGTTTGTCTTTACTAACTTATAACGTTCGCTTGGTGAATATTTACGAAAAGTCGCACAGTTATATAAGTTACCGTGTTTATCTTTACATACTATACAAGTATGCTGGAGCGATGTCGGCGTAGCGGTTACGTAAGTTAACGACCCTGCTATTTTAGATGATTGAGTCTGTCTACGGTCGACGCACCTTTTAATCTCCTGTTTAACGTTCGGTGAGCGCTGCATCACCTTTATTTGATCTCGCACGAACGATGCTAATGAATGAAAGGAAGGCATCTCCGAGCTACGATGCTCCATTTCAAACGCACGCACGGTGTCGGAGTCTAATTTCTTTAATGCTATATGGAGAAACACCACGTCCATAAGGTCATCAAACTTCAAATTCTTAAGTGCAGCCACCGATGCCACAAATTTATCGAGAAACTGCTCTAAGCCGTTGATGTTCGCGGATGATATAGGTTTAAGATCGAATATCTGGTTCAAATATTCGGAAGCTAACATTCTCCTATCTTCATATTTAGTTTTAAGCGTTTCAAATATTAATACGTAATTGTTTGCTGTAGGTGTAAAACCCGAGCATATCGATTGTGCTCTGCCACTAAGTTTACTAATTAAGTAATATAATTTTTCAGCGTCCGATAACGATGGGTTGTTGTGTATATTGTTTTGAAAACTACTGAAGAAGAAGGGCCACGTCTTAATATCACCATTGAATACCGGAATATCTATTGGCGGTAACCTAATTGAGTCACGAGGGCGTACCTGCATTTCAGGCTTCGCTTCACCTTGAGATTGTAGCAATTTTGCGGTTCTCTTCACGCGACACAACATATCTTCGAATGCCAGCAGCGGTTGGTAGTTCACTATGTATTTCGGGTCGGTTTGTAGTTCCGAATGATTAATTTGGTCTAATATTCTTTCGTAATCTGTCCGCAAATTATCTATCGTTTCGATTTCATTTAAAAAGGCCTCCCGTACTGCCTCTATATGAATGTTCTTTATATAATCACTTATATTTTGCACACGCGAAAAAGAGTATGTCCCTCTTGGCATAAAGCGTTTTAATTTTGATTTCACTTCCACTAACTGCCATTTTAAATTATTATAATAAAGTTATATTAATCACAATTAATCTCACACGCATAAACGACGTAGGATGAATACTCGGCGTGCTGTATTACGTAATCAGATCGAGCGCCCGATGCAGTCAAGGCTACGCGTCGTTTGCTAAACCTAATAATTTTATAAAATTGTGGGGTAAGCGTATCAAACGGTTGCTATCACGCCGTTTCAATTATTTAAGCTTTAAATTTAACCAAATACGAGCGCTATTAAATGAATAATTCTGTTTGCGAGTAACAAATCAAAATTTTAATTTAAACGAACACTATTTAAGTCTATTCCATAAGTTAGAGTGCGTTATCTAAACAATTAATTTAATAATTCGACCAGAAAATGGTTGGATAACCACTAAACACCAATCCAGATCCTGCCGAAGTGACCATAAAATGGTGGAGCCACGTGTTTAAGGCTGCCGAAAATCTAGTTCCCCGGTCAAACCTCAAACCTATTACGCGAGATATTAACTAAAGTGGACTGTATATGCGATTGCTTCTATGCTTATGTGAAGCGACTACTATAGCATGCGGTACAATGCACTCGCTCTTCCCTAAACTAAACTATTACTTGTCGAATCGATGAAAGGAATCCTGCTTGACTAGGAAAAAAACACAAATTGGAGCGGGTTAAATTATTAGCAAGCAGGTATAATTAAGGAGTATTGACTCACCGGGGTTTCTTCTTCCTGTCGATCACTATGGCGGCGACTTCCGGAACCTCCTCTGGACAGACACTTCTGGGGCCCCAGTGGTGCGTCAGGAGAGAAGCGTTGGTTCAACGACGACTGCGGCGGGAGAAGAGAGCGCGCGTCGGTCGCGCGTGTCTTATATATCCTCGGGTCCGATGATTACGCGATGTTCTAGAATCGTCTTCTTTCCCCTCCCACCCCACCACCCCGATGTGTCGATAGGAGGGTACGAATGATATTGTTTCGGAAGGGAATAATGATTCGACAAATTCCTACCGTCAAAAATAAAAAACGCGAATGGTTTTCCGCGCAACCAATTATTATTTTGTACTTATTTTTATTTATAATAATAACTATTATTTTTTTACTTGACATTGTGATTATTAATTTAATTAAATTTACAGAATTGTAAAATAATGTAATCTAATAATGTAATTTATTAATGAAATCTAATATTGTAGTTTAAAAATAATATTTAATATTTTTATAATTGCTACGCCCAAACTGGGTTCAAATGCGGACTTTTTTTTAAAAAACATCACATCTATTGTTACCATTTGATGGCAATAAAGATTATGATTATGGTTATGATTATCTCAAAATCATCTGGTAGCGTCAGCATCATATCAAACCCCCATTGTCATAAGAGCGTTAGACTTTTCTTCTGTGCTTCACTTGGCCTACGCCTCCCCACATAAAATATTTTGAGTCGATCTCTCTGTATATTTTGGTTAGATCGATTTCGAACTCGATACACAACGTGCGACACGGCTACATCTCTAAGAAAGTTTCAAAAAGGAAGGTCAGCTACGCCCATGAAGTTATCGACCTTATCTATAACTTCATGGCTACGCCGTTGTCGTCCAGTCGTGACAGTGACGTCATCACGATGAAGACTAGTGTTGTGATATATTACTATTTTTTTGTTATTGTTTGTTTTTATTTATGTACAAAGTACATATATAAAAAGAGTGGAAGACAGCACAAGATTAAATAAAACATACCGGATTATAAAGTCATTTATTGGTCTTATTCCAACACTATTTTTTCGTAGGTATTTTTGTTTACTTTTCGCTTTGGCGTACAGGACACGGTAATGCGTTTTTGGCGTGGCGCTCAAAAGGTACATTATCACCTTCGATAATATTTTTGAAAATATTTTATCATTACCATTCGCAATGCGTTACATGAAATGACATGACATGAGAAATTTGAGTCTCTAACAACAAATAAAACGAACCAACTAACCTTTCTATGAGTACATTTTTATTACCTAACAGGTAAACCCACAAATCTCGAACGAGATGATCTTGAATTTTTGCGAGTTTGAACTTTGCTCCGGATAAGTCATCTTCATAGATAAGCTAATATAATCGGGAGTACGCCAAGCTAAGGTTTTAAAATTATTAATTATAAGATGGCGCTCATTCTTTACATGGTTACCCACTAGAGGGCATAACTATATAGTACCTAATTTATTCATTTAACTAAGTGGGAATGTTGAAGAAAAAGTTAAGTTCTTCAACCTGTAATAAAATACGAAGCTGTTATTTATTGCATTTATTATCAGTTTTACAATTGGTATATGCTTGTAAGTTTACCAAGTAGTGGTTGTCAGAACACATCATTTTTCCTTTCAATATACGATTTACATTTGTTGTACACCAACTATTTATAAGTAACCATATCATATGATTATTAATAAAAAAAAAACAAATCATTTTTACGTATGGGACAAGACAAAAAGATGGATTGCAGAAGATTTCTGCAAGGTCAGTTATTCTCTTTTGAATTTTTTTAATACCAGAAGTATCTTTTAATGTTGCATGTGTTATGTGATTAATTTTATTTAAATGCTGATACAGTGCTTCACTGGGAGAAAACAATGATTTTTTTTTTGTATAATCCCTATCATATATGTAGCTGGATATTTCATGTTTCTTATTTAATTTATTTTTGCACCTTCTGCAAGATCGGAAGAATCGGTTTACATTTTTTATTATATATCCAGCTACATATTGTTTTGATTCTTTCTAGCTCATATTGTTATTATTCACATTTAAGACTTTAATTAACGAATCCAAGCAGATATTATCGCCACTTTCTTTATGATTTATATTTCGTTCCACAACTAATGACTTTAAATTTTGAAATAGTTTATTTCCATCCTTTTTACAATTTGCCCCAACAGAATGATGTGATGTTTAATTATTAATAATTAAAAATTTATATGCATTAGAAAATTGGCTACAAGTGAGTTAAATACAGGGGGGGGGTACACTTCCATACTTTAGGTTGGGGTTCAATAATTTGCAAAGACACTAGTGCCATCTTATACTATATCCCCATAAACTTTCGAACATTTAGTTCTAAAAGGTGCGCCAGATGGCGACTACACCAATTCTGGTTATTCTGGAAATGGCAAGTAGCAACTTTATAGGACATAATGGCTACAGCTATCTATAGTCAACATGATATTGAGATTAGTTCAAGGGATATGATACCAGGCGGCGACACTATTCATATTGGGTGACAAAAAATCCTAGGAGATGGCTCTCTATTTCTGTATATATTTCTCTACTCTATGGTTAAATATTTCTGACACCATGACTCCGTACACAACAAAAAAAACTTTTCCAAAGGATCTTGATTAAAGTTTCGCGTCAATAGGGTGTGTATGTCGCAGGCATTTTGTGTGATTCCGCCGTTTACATACGGCGTCGTCAGTTTAGAAACGCTCGCTGTTATGTAATATGCCGAAAGCAAAATGTAAATTGCCGTTTCATAATATATTATGCCTAAACATTTGCTTGACGATTCAAACGCCATCTACGTAATGCCGCGGCAAATTGAAGAATTTAGTTCTGTTTCTTACCACGAGCGTCGCTGTTGACCAAAACAAACAAAATGGCGTCAAGTAGTGGTTTTGTGACACAAAAAGTTATTGAAAATAGTGCAAATACTACGTGTTCAAAGATTTGCCACAAAATAATTGTGATTTTAAAGACATATACTACAGTGAGTTAAAAAAGTTTTACGATCTTCAAGCGGGAGCAATAAAAAAGCCATGGACAATTGAGAAGATTTTTGAGGTTATCCGGCACCTAAAAAATGCTAAGGTGTCCATAGAATCTGGTTCTCGGAGGACGCCTGCCCAGTATTATTGGTCAAAAAAATATGAGGTAATGAGGATTGGTGATGTGGACTACCTAATTCTAAAAAAAGATAGCCCTGAAAGTCCGACGGTTCGTGTAATTCTGTTAGAAGAATATTACGACATATTATTAGATATTCATAGAGGCTGCGGACATGGTGGTCGAGACAAAATTCAGTATCAAATTAAGGATAGATTTATTATTGTGAGAAAAGCAATCGACTTATTCGTCTCATTGTGTCCTGCCTGTGAATCCAAACGTAACTTACCAAAGAAAGGCATCGTAGTCAAACCAATTATATCTCGAGATTTTAATGAGAGGGGTCAAGTCGATATGATTGATCTACAATCAGCGCCAGATGGTGACTTTAAATGGCTTCTTAACTACCAGGATCATAGCATTAAGTTTCTTCATTTTAGACCACTTAGTACAAAAAAAGCAAGGGAAGTTGCCACCGAATTGCTTAAAATATTTTTAGAATTTGGAGCACCATATATACTGCAAAGCGATAACGGCAAAGAATTCACTGCTAACATAATTGAAGAAATGGGTAAAATGTGGCCTGAATGTAAAATAATACACGGTACTTCGCGACACCCGCAGACCCAGGGTAGTGTTGAGAGGAGTAACCAAGATGTTGAAAACATGCTTCGTGCTTGGATGCGGGATAATAATTCGACAAAATGGGCAATGGGCTGCTTTTTCGTGCAGTATAGTAAAAATACATCTTTCCATAGAATTATAGGAAGATCGTCATTTCGTGCTCTTTTTGGTTGCGAACCAAAATCTAGTTTACGAAGTTCAAACATTCCTCACGACATTCTTCAGCATATCACAACTGAAGAACACTTACAAGAAGTTTGTGATGGAAGACAAACAGATGAGACTCAAGACTATTCTGCACAAGTCGCAAACAGTTCTGTTATCATATTATATTCTAATGAATTAATTACTTTGCCTGTGCCAATGAATGCCTCTAACAATATCACTAATATCAGTACTTCTATTCAACATCCAAGTGAATCATCAAACGCCGATAGCAACGTCTTTCTACCAAATTCTGTTGTGATGCATGGTTCAAATGAGATTACTACCCTTGAAAATGACTTGAGATGCGTCGTATGTAAAGACGGGACTAGTGGTGCCCATCAATGTTGTTCTTGTCTTAAACCAGTTCACACTATTTGCAGGGAAGGAATTGGTAACGAAGGTTACGGCGCAAGTGTTTTGTGTTTGATGTGTAAACGAGAGCAGGACATACAATTAGAGAGAAATAAATCACATCAAGGCGTAAAAGGAGCGGCGGAAAAAATGATTAATGTTACGGCTAAAAAACTCCCAGCTCTAGATATTGGAGATAGCGTTTTTTTCAACGTCCCAAAAATTGATAGAGGTCCCATAGATGCTAAAAATATATCGGGAAAAGTATTGGATATGAGACACGGCGTTATAAACCAAATTTGCACAAATAATGGGATTATCAATAACTGGTTTAACCGACAAGAATTAATCATCAAAGAAATACCTCGAAGAAATTCCTCATAAAATGATATCGTTAAGAGAAGCTGTTTCTAAAGAATCTTTATTTGGCAGACAAGGCTTTAGCAAATGCTCATGCAAGCCGGCTAAAAGACAGTGCCAAAATAACCGATGTGCATGTTTTAAAAAGAATGTTCTTTGTGGGTCCAAATGTCACTCAAGTTTGACAAGCGCAAATAAATAATTTTTGATTTCTCAATTACCAAAAACCGTCTATTATTATTATTCTTGATTTATTTTTATAGTATTTTTCTGAATATTTTTTTCTTTAAATGTTTTTGTATTTGATTGTGTACCTAGGGGTATTGGGTAATATTAAGAAATTTCGTTGAAATTGATTATTATTTTGTTTTTTCTTTGAATATTTTCTAGGGGTTTTGGGTAATATTAAGAAATTTCGTTGAAATACGGATTTCAACATCTATACCGAACTAAGCACAACATAAAAAATCATAACTAGGTTGATTTAAAATTAGTGCGAAAATGTATATTTTTTAAATATTATAATTAATAAGAAGTTTAATTATTGTTTATATAAATGTCGTTTTTGTAACTTTAATATTTTAACTATGTACTTTATGAGAACCATAGCGCATAATGACAATTGCTGAAATAAAGTATGATTTGTCCAAACTGTGTTTTCTTCATGGTCAACCTAAAACTACAACCAACGTTGAAATTATAACAGTTGAACGAGTTGTCATTTTGCCTTCGGCATATTACGGGTATGTTCCGAAATACAACGCAGTGTACTGTCCAATGCAAATGACGTCATAAATCGACGTTATACTGGTGATTCGTTCCAAAACGTTGGACAGTATATGACGTCATACTATTGCGCCATTTAGAAAAGTGTCGGCGATTATTATGATCCAAAAATCATTATATCCTCCTAATGGATATACCAGCAATTATTCTATAATTTTTTGTATATGAATAAATAGAAACAAATTCTGGCATGCTTCATTCAACGCACACACAATATGGCGGCAGCACGCCAGTACAATATAGTTTCAATTGATGACGTCATTTGTATTTAACAGTGTACTGTGTTGTATTTCGGAACATACCCTACATACAAAATGCCTGCGACATATTTTTATTTAATAAAAGAAATATTTCTTTTATGCTTTCACTATTTTTGATCCATTTTTTTAAAGATGGAATTTGAACTTATTTTATAAACTCAGTCCCATGTCTTTGCTTATGAACAGTTTCAAACCCTATTGAACGCAAAATTGGTAAAAATTCGTTCCACTTCTTAAAATGCGCAGTTTCTTTTTAGACATACTTTTAAAGGTTTTGCGTCGTCCTTTTACTTTGATCCGTTGAATGAGTCCAACAGCTGATCAGTCATATTTATAAAGATAGCTGTCCCTCTGCATTCCTCCGGCAATGCTTTATTTCCTGTAAAATAAACCAGTATTAACAATAGTGCTACTTTAACAGGTTGTCGTTTGCTTATACATACAGCGGCTAGTTTAAACTACAGTAGCCAGCCATATATATTACATTTAATAATTAATATACTAAGCTAGCACCCGGCGCGTTGCAGCCGCGGAAGAAATAATTCTAAAAATATATTATACAAGTTGAAATTGAATATATGACTTTCAAATTGTAGGTACGATACGCGCACTACATATTGTAAGTTAATTGTACTATGTCTATAAACTTCGCAAAAGTGCAAACAATAAGTTGAACAAAGTTTTAGCGCAATCTGATGAACTGTAGGACAGCGCATAAAATACGAACAAACATAATCTTTTATGTATTAGATATAATATACACCGCGGGGCGGAAGGCTAGTATATATTATGTACTACTAGCTTTTCGCCCCGCGGTGTTATGTAACCAATATTCAAGTAACAAAATTCGTTTAATAATTTTTCACCATACATATACATATCGCTGCTTTGGAAGGATATTGTCGTAACTCAAATTGAGTGAATTTTTCAGTAGAGCACTTTAAAGTTTTTTCAAATCTTCAAATGCTGTATTTTTTTATTTACTGCGCAAATGTTGATGAAACTTGAATAAAACACGTGAAATATATTACAGTTTATGTTTATTAAATGTTTTTAAGAAAATGATACATATTTAGTACTATATTGAAAACGACTGCTAGGTCTCAAACTTATAACAAAATAACACAGCCAAACTTATGAAGATTACTGTCTCATTACAAAAAATGCTAGAAAAAAAATAAGGTTATTTTTAATAATAGTGGTGTTTTAAGAAATAATTCAAAATATTCATTATGTTTTTCTCAGTGATACTGATACATTTTGAGTTGTGACATCTTAGTATTATTTATTTTAATTCAATAGTGTTACAGTACCAATTTGGTCATTCTTTTACAAAAATGCTTACTGTATGGGACATGTTTTATGGAAAAATAAAGTATTAACTGGTTTTACAACAAGTAATAAATATACTAAAATTAGAAAATGAGAAAGTTTAACATCTTTAAAAATAGCTAATATTATTAAGTAATTGTTGTAGCATAGAATCTTATAAATTCTGGCAACAAAACATAAAAATTCAAAAAAAAAACTCTAAATTGAACAATGTAGCTTTTATCAACATAAAAATTAGAAGAATTTTATAAATTATAAACACAAAACAGAGTTTACACCAGTCTCTATTTTGAACAGTCTTTTAAAAAAGCTATCTAAATATCGAACTATAACACTGAGATCATAATAGTCAGTTACTAATACGCAAAAAAAACTTTCAACGTGTCATTTTATTATTATGACTAACCCCCTGTAAAAAAACCCTAAAGATTCTCATAGAATAATGAGTAACATTTATCTTTCATATAATCCTCGTTTCTTCTTTTCACACACTTCCATCTTATTTTTGTATGCTTGTGTCAAAACTATATTATTATTTTGTGTCTTTCTTGTTCTCCCTATCTTATCTACATTAACTTTATTAAAATGTTCCTCTTCGTATGATGTTTTGTAGTAGAATTTATTCATTAATTTAGAGTGTCGTCTGGATCAACTTTAAAAATTTTTATATCAGTAAGTTTTACTGATTGCTTGTTTGCATTTTTAGAAAAATTCTAAAATCATAAAAATCGGCATGGGTCAGTTCATATACTTTATAGGGGGTACCAGTATTCTTCGCACTTCGTATTATCTGTGTGTATTAATCAGGTGTATAGATCGCACCAGATTTGAGGCTTCTTTGGATTTGACGCTCAATAACAGAGTGAACACTATCGCCCTCATTTTGTGTATGACCCTTTATGAGGAATTCATGCCAAATTGAATTTATAAAATCATAATTATTCACAGCAAAAATGTATACAGCGATCAAATAATGATTTTTCTGCTGTCCGCAGCAATTATCTGAGTAATATATCAAATCCGATTTTGAATCAACCTTTTTGGCGGTCTCTACCAGGCTTTCAATGTATTTTAGTACACAGGTACCACTTTCAATAGCTCCACGTTTAGCTTCGCCTTCGTGCCATACGTAACAGTTCACATCTTTGGTTTTAATATCATAAATAGTAAAATTATAGCAGTTCAATTTGGATAGGTAATAAAATGTCAACCTTTAGGACAAGGCATCGCAGCTTGTAAGTCATAAACGGATACTTTACAATTGTCCGGAGTATAGTTTTTGACCTCATCTTTTTGATCCCTTTCTAGTTGTTTTTCCTTTAGGTGAAGTTCATAATCATGTTTCATAATTTGTTTGTCTTCTTCAGTCACATTAGTATAATTTGTACAGGTTTCGCATTGGTCTTTTTTAGGTTTCAAGAATGCCATATTGTATCCGGTACAAAATATATTGTAATATGCTAGATAATTACCAAAAGGTAAACCTTTACTTTTACATTCAGCAACATAGTCTCTATGTAAATCAGCTACAGTCTTGCCGCCTTCAATGTATGTTCGCTTGGTGTCTGCTCTGCAGTAATGACTATCAACTTTCGGGATAGAATCTAAGTGTTTTCTTATGCTATCTTTTACCAATGGATCAAGATGAGCATGGTTCTCGTGTTTGCCTCGACAATCTTGCTCTAAAATGGCCATGTCTGACGTTTTATCGTTAATAGTCTTAATAACCCTGTCGTTAATATCAAGAGTGGCTTTGAAATAAGTTTTACTAACTCGAAGTTTATTATCCCCTATTGAAAGATAAAAAGCAAAATTATTTCCTCGATTACTGTTGTGTACTTTGTACGAGTACCTCGGTTTGATAACGGAAATATGTCGCATAATATATTCTCGCTGCCGTTCCAAGTCCCCCATATCCCAGTAGTTTTGAAATATCATTTTTCTCTGTAATTCTGTAATGATTTCCTTACACCTAAATTTGCATTTATCTCCGCATGAAGTTTTCAATCGTCTCTCGGTAATTACTTTGTTTTTTTTTTATTCACGTACGATTTGCCATGATTTCTTAAAATTTTTGCTCTTACAGATATCCAGTTCTTAGGGTTTGCCTTGCGTTTACCTCCAATTTTTTTCGAAGGCTCTGTATTTGGTTCTGTATTTTTTTCTGTATCTTGTTCTGTACCTTTTTCTGTTTCTTGTTCTGTAACTTGTTCTCCATCTTGTTCTCTAACTGGTTCTCTATCCATTTCTATATCCTGTTCTGTATCTTGTTCTGTACCTTTTTCCGTATCTTGTTCTGTAACTTGTTCTACATCTTGTTCTCTATCTGGTTCTCTATCCATTTCTATATCCTGTTCTGTATCTTGTTCTGTAACTTGTTCTCTCTCTGATTCTCTATCCATTTCTATATCCTCTTCTGTATCTTTTTCTGTTTCTTGTTCTGTACCTTGTTCTCTATTTATTTAATTTATTTATTTAATCCTTATTATACACCTTATATACTAAGGGATATAAAGGGCGGACATAATGCCTTATGGCATTCTCTGCCAGTCAACCCTGGATGATTTGAGAAACTGTGGCAGGTGTAACCAATCACTTCATAAATAAATAATAAGAATATAAAACAAAAATAAATGCAAATGAATAGAATAGTTATATAGTTAGTAAAATATACATACTTACTTAATATATAATATGGGATAAATAATAAATATATAAAATAACATAATACATATTAAAATACATTATACAAAATATTACCTATAAAGTGAAAGAGAGAAAAAAAAACAATAGTCGGATAGTCAGGTGGTATTATTCTTACGACAGAACTCCCGAACTAGTCTTTTAAAATAATTCTTCTTATTAGTTTTATTGATATAAACAGGCAAGGCATTCCAGAGCAGTATAGACTGTATAGTAAAAGAGGAATTAAAGAAACCACTCCTATGTGGTGGAATACGAATAGACAATTTTGGGAACGGGGTACTCTATCGTTAGTAGAATACAAATATTGAAAGTTATCTTTAAGATAAGAGGGAGAATTGGGGTCCTTTAAAATTGAATGTAGTAATTGCAAAGTTCGGGAGCTACGCCTTTGACGAATAGAGAGCCATTTAAGCTTAGATCCGTACTGGGAAATATGGTCATACTTATGTAAGCCGAAAATGAATCAATGCAATTGTCGAGATGGCGCTCCAACTTATCGAGAAGATATTGAGATAGATCTGGGTAACACACATCCGCATAATCAATAATGGGTAATATCAAAGTCTGGATTAGCAGAAATTTAGTTTTAAAAGGCAAAAAGTTTTTGAGACGACAAAGAGAACGTAAGGTGGCAGTTACTTTACGGCTTGTTTCGGCAACTTGAACTCGACAGCTTAAGGTATGGTCTATATGTAAGCCAAGATTTTTGACAGACTTACAAAATGGCAACAACGTTCCATTGTAAAAGACGGGAGCAAGATTATCGTTATTAATCTTAGCCAACAATCTGCTACTACCTATAACCATTGCTTTGCATTTTGTTGGGTTAACCAAAACACCATGTCTGTACGACCAATCTCTTATGGCATCGAGGTTGTGGTATCCATTTCTATATCCTGTTGTGTATTTTTTTCTATTTCTTGTTCGTAACTTGTTCTAAATCTTGTTCTCTATCTGGTTCTCTATCCATTTCTGTATTTTTTTCTGTATCTGGTTCTGTAACTTGTTCCTCAACTCTTTTTGCATCCTCTTCCGTGTCTGAAGAATCGCTAGACGATGATGAACTGTCAGAAGAGTCCGAAGAAGAGCTTGAACTAGATGAACTCGGAAATGATACTCGGTGGTATATACGATATTTTTGAAGGACCTGGTTTGGGCTTGTTTGAATAATCAATTTTTTGGTGAGAATTGGGCGTACTAATTTGACTTGAACTTGAATTTTTAGTCGCAACTGAAATTATGGGATCGATGTTTTCAGCAAACTTATTTCTTTTAAATCGCTTTGCGCTTTCTTACTTCTTATTCTATCTTTCTTACTATTTAAGTCACTATGATCAGAATCGGAATAATAGTCATCAGTATTTACGTAATTTGGGTCCTTAACGCTGTCATCTGAACAATAGTCATGTACTTCCTGGTTTAGCGGATCTTCTGCATCTAGGAGCTTGTTGTTTTCAGACGGTAAAGGAGATAGTATCACGCGTTCCGTTTGAACTATTTTGTTCTCTGCTTGATTGTCCTGTATGTAATATAAACAAAACATGAAAAAGTATACAATGAAACATGAATCAAAAAGTTGAAAATAATGTTCTTCTCGATAGCAATTGGTAATAAATATTATTATTATTATAAAATCAAAAAATCCAACTACCTACACTTCATGTAAAAGTACGTACCACTTCTTTTATTCCCTTGATACTCAACGGGATATTGATGTTTCGGAACAGCTTTAGTGTCGGTCGTCGGTTTGCCACTAAAATAAAAAAAAACAATTAAAAGTTAGGTAGGTATATACCCGCACTTTCACACAATTATCTTATTCTGATTCCTATCGGACCTAGATTCTAGGTATAGGTACGTACCTACCTAGAATACCTACTCTTTATAAAGTACCTAAGTACCGTAGTAGTAGAATCTAAGTACCTAGATTATAGCTACCTAGAATAGTAGAGTCGATAGGTAAAAAGAATACTAGGTACCTACTAAAATATTAGGTTCTGTAAGCTCATTACGATTAGTTAGGTAGGTACTCGTATCTGACATTTTAGAAAAAATATATGCGTTTTCGAGTTGCTTTTTATCTAAAATACTGTGTCAAGTACAAAAATACGACAGATTGTTGAACAGATAAAGTCTTATTACGAAAAATACTATTACAATCACGAAATAATTTATCTAGAAAAACGTTTTAATTTAAATTGTACAAATACTATCGACCCAATTTTTTATTATAAACAGTAATATCTAATTTTAATACATTTTAGTTATACTTACTTTTTTGTAGAACAACGTAGTAATCCCAAATGATACTTTGTTTATGAGAAGTGTCTAAAGGTTCTTGTAGATTTTTTAAACAATAATGTCACATCTCGAAGTAATGCAGTGTTCTAGAAAAATGCGCACTCAAAATTGTGTGTGTTCACTTCTAAGGACAAGTTGCAATTGGCGATACAACGCTGTCTATAAAAAATGGCTGCCGAAATTGACCAATAGGATACAGTCTTTCGGTGGCGCCACGGCCGTAAATGTTGTTATAGAAATATGATCTTAATTGTGTATACAAAATAGATCATTTTACGTTGAATGTTGTTGAAAACTTAATTTTGTAGTATTTGGTAATAATACGCTATTCTTCCAAAGCAGCGATATAAGCCATGGTAGCTCGATCGTAGTTCGATCCCCGCCAGCAGCAATGAAATTGTTAATTGCAATTTAAGTGCTGATTTACTACGTGGTCGGCCGTGAAGGAAAATATCGTGAGGAAACCTGCATGTCTAAGAAATAGGAAAAATATATTTCGGAGATATATTTTTATTTTTTTTACAGGATAGGGTGACAAACGAGTACTGAGTCCACCTGATGGTAAGTGGTTGCTGCGGCCCATAGACATCTACATCTATCCTCGATTACAAATCAAAATGCAGATGCGATGTCACACGTGACGACTAAGATGGAATGCTTCGTTTCCAGTAAAAAGGGTCTCCGTTTCTCTATACTCACCATACTTTTACAGCGGTATTCTGTGAGAGCGTGGTCCTTTCCCTGTCGAGCATCCCATTCGTGCTACAACTTTACTACTAATATAACTGCAGCATGGCTTTACCACGTATAACACACATACGAAGTTTGCCAACACGCATTGGGGCAGCGCGGGGACACCTCCTAGCCCCAAAACCCTATCAGAAATGAGGGGAGGCCTGTGCCCAGCAGTAAGTCGTATATAGGTTGTAACTTTAACCTTAACATATACATATAAAATGGCTACATAAAGTGAAAAGTGTGTACAAAATTTACACCCTATTTCACACTAAGGGCTTGAAATTGCACCATTATTCAAAGTTTAAGAAAACATTCATAACTTTTTCGTCATACAAGTTTGAATACCCTCAGCCCCCCTGTGAGGATTTGTTTCTGTCTCAGAAACTGTGCCACCCTTTTTCTCTTTTCTTTTGCTCTTAGGGTTGTAATTTTCCAAAATATTTTATTTTCGAATGCCTACGTAATATAAAGAACTATTGTCCAAATTTCACGCTTCTTTGTCGAGTAATATGGATTGTACGTCTTAATATAATATTTTTCATACAAACTGCATTTTCGTCTTACATTAACCTTTTGGATACAGTTTAGAAACATCAAAAATGGATATCTTATTAGTATTTTAATTCAAGAGTATTTGCAACAGTTCTCAAATAAATAACAACTATTAAGGGGAAATATAACCTCAAATGGCTTAGCAAGATCCTCCGTTATGCCGAAAGTATTGCAGCATTAATTTTGAAATAAATATATGGTAAAGTTGAGGATTAATGTTAAGGTTTATGTTAGACGAAAACACGATTCCGTAAAATTTTCTCGATAGAAAAAAAATCCAAAGTTACCTCCAAACTGAACAATAAACCGCTGGTTGGTTCCTGTCGCTCCGCAGGAACCAAGCTTACGCGCCGATAGTTTAGGTAATTTCTTTTTACAGTGAAAATAATGATATTTTAAAAAAAGTAAATAACATAAGCACTGCTTTATGGTTAGTTCAGTTAGTATGCAAAGTTTCATGATCTTATTTAAAGTATTTTATGAATAACAGCGGTTTATTGTTCAGTTTGGAGGTAACTTTGGATTTTTTTTCTATCGAAAAAAATTTTACGGAATCGTGTTTTCGTCTAACATAAACCTTAACATTAATCCTCAACTTTACCATATATTTATTTCAAAATTAATGCTGCAATACTTTCGGCATAACGGAGGATCTTGCTAAGCCATTTGAGGTTATATTTCCCCTTAATTAAATAAGATAACACTTTATGTTTATAATATTCTAATGTTATATTTTATGTTATTTCGTATATTTTATGTTCGTGACGCAGTGGCTTAGCAATGAGTGGCTGCGCTAGGGGCGGCGGGTTCGAATCCCGCACGAAACAAGTCTACGGCCTACGAATAATTGTTCCGGGTCTGGATGTTTTTCCTTGTGCAATTTATGTTTGTAAACTGCCTTCATAACATAGGAGAAAAGCCTAGTGTGGAGGTAACGTTTAAAAAAAAACTATAAGCAACTTACTATTGAAACACAGTGTGTGGTTGTTCAAAGACTAAACCTTTATTTTCTTAATACAGAGACAATAGACAAATATCAAGAGATGCAAATAGTTGTCAACAGACGGCATTATTAGTATATAAAGTAAAACATTATTTTGATAGTAATTTTCACATCTCCACTTATCAAAATAATCTAAACCATACATAACAATTCAAAAGCATACAGTTACAAACAGTTCAATGCATACTTAACTACTTAAAATATATTGTTTTTGCACAGGTTTTGCACACTAATAAGCATCATATATATCTAGATAAAACAATAATATGCATACCTAGCTTTTTAACAAAATAGTTATGTTTGACACTACTCAAGCCGTTTGTCAGCGGGTCTGCAGGCATTCCAGATGTTGGCAGATAAACTATCTTTTACATGTTTGTTAGCAACTGCTTCTCTAACAAAATGGTGACGCACATCAATGTGCTTGGTTCTTTTATGGAACAATGGATTTTCTGTCAACTTCTGAGCTCCCTGATTACCATTGTACAAGACTATCGTATAATTACAAAAATCTACAATCTCAATCAAGAAGTTTTTTAAATATATAGCCACTTTACAAGCCTCAGTTATCACCTTATATTCCGCTTCTGTACTGGATAAAGCTGTAGTTTGCTGTTTATTACATTCATATGAGACAACAGATCCTGAAAGCTTAAAGTAAAAACCTGTATAAGATTTCTCTATCTAAGGTATTTGAGGCACAGTTTGCATCAACGAAATCCTCTAAGTTACAATACTCTTTAGTAAACATAAGTCCATAAGATTTAGTTTTGCTAATATATCTTAAAATTCGTTTTGCATGGTTCCAATGTATGAGTGAATAACAATTATTGAATTGGCTCAAATAACTTACGCCATAGGATATATCTGGGCGAGTTAAGACACTTAAGAGGGCATATGCGTTTCGCGGCGAAAACTACATGTTTTATGGTTTTTCCAAAGACGATATCGTAACGACGTGAGGAGATTATATGCTGAAAATTAGGGCTTTAGAAATATGAAGGCTTTATTTAGTACATAGCAATGCAAAATCATAGTTTTTAATGACGGTTTTTAGGGCGAAGACAATCCCTTCACAGTGTTACGAAAATATGCATCAGTGTTTTGTTTCAGGTTGAATACAACCATTATTATAAGCTAAAATACTTTATTTTAAGCGTTATTATAATGGAATATATAGTCCTTTAGTGTATAGCAAAATCTAAATTACGAAAATATTTCGATTTCATATTATAAAATAATATTATAAAATCACCAAAACTGTCTACTTCAATGTAATTTTTTCCATGTATTTGCTTATAAACATATATATATTTAATTATTTTATCAAAATACATGTAATGTTAAATATCCAAAAAAAATTTTAGCTCGTTTTATTTTGTCAATTATTTTATATAATTATTTTAAAAATACTATAAAACATCATGCGCAGACGCCGTTCGATTGAGTAATGAGTACGCTCCGGGTAATCCCAACGACAGTATTACTTTTTCTCACCGACACCGCGCGATCGCGTTGATACACCGATAGGGCTATACTTCACCATACTATAACTAGATACCTATAGCACCATCGAGCATTTTAAACGATTGACACTTTTATAAGCGATATTTTTGGTAGTAAGTAATTTTGAAATATGTTTATGATTGTAATATTTAAATATACTTACTACGCCACTTACAGTGACGAAGCCTACATAGAAGTCCATTAGCCCGGCTTGCTCTATAAAATGCTCAATCAATAATATCAACTAATAAAATAACTTGTAAACTGTTTCAAACTATTTCAAAGGGCATGGCCCCGTAGCATATAATATGTAACGTCAACACTTGGCAGTTTGCTTTCAATTCGAAATACACTGGACTGTCAAAAAATAACATCTGTAAATATATATAATAACAATTACTATGGAACCAAAAGCCGTGCTTTACCCTGAAGTTGTTTGGGAATGCATTAGTGAGTGGGGGTACGGTAACACGTTTGCAAGTTCACTTCACATTTCAATGTTTATGTTTGTTTTTGTTGTGTCTTAAAAATTTATGCTTTTTCAAAGATTTTTAGTGAAAATGGGAGGATAATAGTGTTCCTTGTGATGAATATAAGTGTGTTAAAATGCTAATCGGCGAGGAAAAGCTAAAATCTTTAAAAATTAAATTTTAATTCAATAAACATTTCTTCACACTAATAGGTACAGGACTCTTTAGTATTAAAGTTTAATCATTCTAGGTGTATTTAAAGATTTAATAACTCAATACTTATATTACCATATGAGTTAAAAATATCATTTTGAACTTCAGCATAAAATATGAGGTACCTAGGTATAAGTTTAATTTTATGGCAAATAATTTTAATGTGAAGTCCAAATTTTTATGTAATAATTTAAATGAATAGATGCATTGAGGTTTCTAAAGAATATTTACTGTAGTCCTTAAAGCTTTATCTTCTCAGT